CCCCCCGGGCGCGGGCGCGCCTTCCCTGCCACAGCCCCTGCAGAAATGAACCATAATACGTTGGGAACTTGCATAATTCAAAGCTAGTTGGATCTTCTCATTGCTAAATACACGATGCTTGGATGTCATGGTAAATAGCATAAATGTTTGGATAGATACGGCCTGGACCAGGTGAGTTCTGAAGGGGTTTGGGTGTTTGGGCTGCCCCTGTACAGTGGGCAAAGCACAGATCTAAGGAAACGTTGCTGATACTCTCAGCTGCCCAGCAAGACCCAGGCTTAAACAACAAAAAAAACCCTTTTAGTGTATTCCTACAGCTCCTGTGCCAGGCCCTGGGGGTTTAAGCTTAGAATAGTCACTTCTATCTTCAAATTTACTAGCCCTGCCCACAAGTTCTGTTTCACTTCTCCTTCAGGTTCTGTAGCAGGAAGTACTGAACAAGTTAAAGCCCTTGTGTGGGTATTTGCTATTTTTAAGGAGCCCAGAGGGTTGCCCACACTCTTCAGTCAGCAAACAGATGCAGAGGACAACGTGAGGAAATGTTTCAAGCGTAACTTACTCTTACCACCGATGTCCTCTCCCAGGATCCTCCCCGTCACCAGCGTGACTATCACAGCCAGGGAGTTACAGAGCGGAACGGCCAGGGACAGATCTGAAAATGAACCGTTTGAACACAGTTTAAAATAGATAATCCTGTACAAATTGTAAGATGCTTGTTTTATTGGTGGTTATTACAAGACAGCTGCTTGGCGTTTAGCTGAGTCACTAGAGTAACCTATAGCACTGATCCTCCCAAAACAGCAACCAACCCACTCCACAAAAGCAATGAGAACTAACCTGCAGATGCCAAGGTGAGATAGAAGAGGACAGATCCACCTTGATTGAGCAGAAAGGGCACCACGTACTGTGGAAGAACACAGGCCTGTCAGCTGCTGCACACAAATCCACTGCACACCCCTCATGAGTGGGCAGGGAAGGAGCCCAGACCCCCCCACTCGCCCTGTGCTGTGTTTGGCAGTGCAATGCAGCACCTGGATGGGGTCGCACCTTGTAGTTGAGGCCCAGGAAGCGAATCTCGGCCAGCAGCTGCTGCAGGCGGCCCTGGCGCCGCACCTCCTCCAGCCCCGCTGCGCCCCTCCGCAGGAAGGGCCCAGTACTGCCCCACAGCACGGCCACCAGCACCAGCGCCGCTGCCTCTCCTGCAGTACAGTCTGGGCTCAGCGGCCTGATGGCCTCAGGGGAACACCAGCCCGTTCTGCCATAGCCACCAGGTCAGTGCAGCCTCATTTCTCCACACAGGGCCTGGTCCACAGCCACCCCAGCTCACTGCTGGTGACAGACCCCCTGGACCTGCTGCCACATCCCTCTCAGGGAAGGCCCCTCACAGGGCGCAGCTCACAGCCGAAATCCCTTGAGGAAAGCACCACAGCCAGCCCAGATCGTGGCCATGTTCCCCCACAGCCAGCCCAGGCCATGGC